TATAAATAGTAATATCAGTAAGATAGCACGTAAAAATTTTAGGAGCAGCCCATTAGTGAGAAATGACTCCTCTCTGTTCAGCCAGAGGGGTCTCTGCCAACCTTGTTCCAAGGGCAGTCAGGAGTCTCGTGTTGTGTAAGTGGTCTCTGTTACATCCTGCTCCCTGTCTGAGCTGCAGGCTTCACAGCAGGATGCTTTATCTTTGATTGCATCATTCATGTCTGGCAAGAACAGGACATCTCAAATGCTGTTTTTACACACTTTTCAACACCCAAATGGGAACTGCAGATTATGTTTGCTATGTCTCACCTCAGGTGTGGTGCTAGGACACAGTTGTCTTTGTGCAGCATCCCATCCTTAGTTGCAGTTTTGCCTGGTTTGGGGTGGAAGTTGCTCAGCCTTTTTTGTTAATGGCTACCCAATTAAAATCTCATCTAAGATATAAAATGGCAGCATGTATTCTTAACTGAGCTTTTTTTAAAATTTTACCTTTTAGAAGCATGCAGCAGCGTAAGTTTACTTCTCTCTGTACTGTGAGTGGATAAAGAGGCTATTTAAAGCATTTCTTCTGCGAAATGCCTGATGTGTGAGTAAAGACTGAGTGTTAAATCCATTATATAAGGGATTATATTCACCTTTCTTTGTCCCAGCACCTTGCTGTGTCTCCCCATTGACTCACTGGGACCTGGTGAAGGTCACAATCTGTGCCTGAGTCACCTATTGAAAAGTAAGCATAGTAGCACACTGGAGGGGTAGCAAGGCTGACTGCAGTTGGCACTGGTGTGTTAGAGGGGTTTTAAATGTTAAGGGAAAGGGTGCCATGGCAATAGGGTAACAAAGTGACTCGGGGGCGGTGGTTTTGTACAGGGTCATCAGGAATGGTTCGCCTGAAGTCTACGGAGTGAAAAATGTACTCTGTAATGTTTCTGGCAGTAATTTGCAGTCCTTTCTGGTACAAATGGACACAGCTCTGTTCTATTTATGGAAGGATCCTGTAATGTGTGCAGGCCTCCCACTGACTTCAGTGAAGCTGTGCCCACTTACAAGGCTTGTGAACCTGGTCCGTGAACTCTGCCAGTCACTTCTAAGGTCTGAGACACAAAGCCAGCCTGAAAGCTGTCAATATTTATGTAATTTTGTCTGAGGAGTGCTGTCTTGGGGTGAGCCCAGCAAGGAAGAGAAATTCTGCGTGCTCAGACCAAAACTAGTAACACTTAAGTACTTAATTTTTTTTTTTTTCCTGGAAGATTTGTCCATTAACTTTAATGAAGCTTTTTCTGGGCTTACAAGTCTGAAGAGAGCTATTAAACAAAAGGGAGAGAGTTTGCTTGCCAGGCATTTTCTCTGCTCCCTTGGTTCTGTTTCTTTATAGCCAGAGAAACACTTTCAGCAATATATCTTTAAAGCAATCCTAACACTTAGTGACCAGTTAAGTAAATCCCACTTGTTAAATTCTTGTGGCTGCATTATGCTGGGAGCCTTACTCTAAGGGCCCTGTTCTGTCACTGCTTGTTTATTCCACATTAAATGAAGTGACTTGGATGGGATGCACAGATTGGTGATGAAGGAGAAATCCTCTTCTGCCGCTGAAAGGTGACACGGTGCAGCGCTGGAGATGTTGTTTTCCTGTTCTGTAAATGGTAAGCCAAGAAACTTGTTTGCTTTCCTGGACCTCAGGCTAACAGGGCAAAGCCTGGATGCGAGACAGTAGCCAGAAGCAAGCAAGTAGAAGGGCTTCTTTACTTATGGCTCCTGCTCCTGAAGCAAGAGTCAAAGGATTCGTGCAGGATTTGCTATCTTAGGTCTCTTTGCCTTGTTTTTGGACCAGTGGAATTAAAAAACTAAATGCCAGTGAGCCGGTTTAGATGCAGCGTCTCACCTCCATGACACCTGCATTGCCCCCTTCCCATCACAGTGGTGGCCATAAGTGCCCCCCAAAAATCTTACAGGTTCCCATTTGGAATTCCAGGGCTTCCTTGGGACAAAAAAAACTGCGGCTGCTGACGTCTTCCTCCCAGAGCAGAGAGACAAATGACGCCTACGTCCATCTGCCTGCCTTCTCTGCAGGAGGGGTGTCCCTCCTGTAGCCCTTGCACTTACCAGCCCCTGACTCCCTTCACAAACACCAAGGTACCACATTTGTCTTTTGCTCTGGGGTGGGATTGAGGCCCATGGGTTGGGATGGGCTCCAGTTTAAGAGGAGCAGCTTATCTGTACCCGTGCCATTGCTGTTGTAATCTTGCAAAAAAAGAAAATGTCCAGGGTTTCTTTGTGTACCGTATCTCTTATTTCAATTACAAAATACCACTCAGAAGTCATAGCTCAGGAGTTCTGGCCTAATTTCTCTTACAAATTGCTTACATGGATTTCTCTTGCTTGAAAATTAATTGACCATACAATAAACTATTTTCCCTTGAGCAGGGACTATTCTGTTTCCTATGACGTTACAGTAAGCTGTCTTTGGGCCAAATATTTAAAGGTATTTAGGTGCTTAAAGATGCAGGTAATGTGAATTTTCCGAAATACCTAGCTGCCTAATACACAGTGATTTCAGTGGGAGTTGCCATCAAAGAGCTTCTAAAAGTCCCACTGTGCACCCATCTGCTTCTTTAAGCACCTGAATTCCTTTGAAAAACAGGTCCTTCCCTCCATCACTGGAGACAAATTTTATTTTTCATAATGTAGACAGAGCTTCTTAATACAGTTTCTTGGATATTGCCTGCCACCTTTAGCTTGTTTTCATTGTTTTGATTATGATGTCAAATCGAGTTGATGATCATGTTTATGCAGTTCCAAGCAGAGCGTGGGCACACAGCATCTATCCTTTATGACATGAACTTGGCACAGCAGCTAATGTTAATAAATCAGGGCTAAGAGGTTTGTAGGCAAGCAAACTGTCAGGAAGTTACTGCAACTTTTGCAGTATATTAAATGATCTGTGTTTTGTTCTAACTTTTTAAAACCCTCTTTGAAAACCAGTCCTCTGTTTCTCATTAGCTGGTCTTTGATCCAGTGAAAATATCAGTCCCTTGAGTTAATATTTCATCTGACTATAAGGCCATGTAATTTGCTACGACACTAAGTCAATAGGTCTCTGCTGGCTTACCCCAGCAGGACTTGTATGTGTAGGCAAAAAATTCTCTGCAAAACATGAATAATGTGGGTCTAATCAAGAATTTATTTCTTTGGTTAACCAAAGGAAAAAAAAAAGTGGAGTGTGAACATCAGTCCATCTAGGCACAGAAGGAGCTTGAGGGAAAGAAAACATTTCACTTTATATCAATTCACATTCTCAATTTAATACATAAGGAGGAGTGTCAGGACATATACATCTTGCAGAGCCACAGAAATAGCAGTAGATTGATCTATCATTATTTACCAGCTTAGCCATCCTGTTCATGTGCTTTCTCTTACAATGTGCTTGGAAAGCTCAGACAGTCCTTCTGCATTAACCTCCACCTTCTGTCCTCATCCTTCCCTCTGGCCCACCCCGTGCTGCATTCTGAAATTTTAATTTCATTGCACAAGGTGCTATAGAATGAAAATAAACATTTGTCTGTGGAGAGTTTGCTGAGTCTGGAATATTCAGTGTGGCTGAAGCTAATTTAAAAACAAGCAACTAAAATTGTGCTTTTACTTTTTAAGGCTTTTCCAGCAATATTTCATTCTGTGGTCTCCAAAGGAGCAAAGCATTTACGAATATGCATTAATCCTCACTGGGAATTGATCCAGAGCTTGTTTTAAGCATATGCTTAAGTGGTTTGTTGAACTGGGGCCATGGCTGCCCAGACCCATCTCTGGATGAGATTTAATTGAGCAATGAGCACATTTGAATTAATTTACTTGTACTTGTGGGGTTTGATTGGGATATATATATATATAATATATATAAATAAATATATATATTTATGATATTTATAAGGATTTGTGCACATCTGATATTTGAACTCACTGTATGAGAAAGGGTCAGCTCTCTGCTATGACTCTGCAGAAAAAGTCATCTTTAGTGCAATACCTGCCTGATGCTGTGTCCAAAGGACAAGTAAATATTTTGTTACGTTTTCACTGAGCTGAAAATAGACTTAGATCTTTGTTGTGTGATTTTTGATCGGTGCTAGATTTCGGCTTGGGGTTTTTAAAATTTGTTTTATTTTATGGCTTCCACTTCTGTTTTGGATATATGATGAGGAAGAGCTTTATTGTAGAGGAGCCTCCTGCTCTGGTTGATGTGTGAGCGTTATCACTGACCCACTGCAGCTCATTCATGAGTTTTCAGCTCTGACAGGTTGAATGCCCAGAGTGGTCACTGATTAGACTGCCACTCCTAATATTCTCATCCCTGCAGTTATCAAGCAGGAAAATAGTGACAAGTAAATCTAAGCAGCGTGGGAAATGCAGGGTCTGAGAAGCCACAGACTTGTTGCACCTTCTGGCATTTCCTGAGCCCGCAGTGGCGTTCAGTGTGATGGCAGAGTGGCCTGGATCACAAAAGGAATCCAGAACTCGGCAAATGGAAGGCAAATTGCACATCACGTTTGTGACTTGTACGTCGCTGCACGATGCCTTCAGGGGAGGAGAAGGATTTCAGAGTCCTGGGTGATTCCTTTGAGCTTGGTGGGTTTGAGTTCGGTTGCGCTGCTGGAGAGATCTGACCCCGAAATTTCAGGGCCACCTCCTGAGCTCCAAAATCTCTCTTCATCAAGACAAAATTCTTAATAAAGTCACTGGGAATTTCCCTCAGATTTAAGGTTATCAGAATTTCATGGTCCTTATTTTTTTTATTTTTCAAGAGGATGGTTTAAAGCATATTTATCACCACAAATGGGGATTTCAGTCCTCATGCAAGACATTCTATTTTCCCAGGTTTTATGGTAGAGAAACTCAGCTTCTTACTGTTTCAGCACATTTTCTGACTGACATGTTGTAAATTGAGATTTTTTTTTTCCATTTCATTTGGGCAAATTTCTTTTTGCACCTGTTTTTCTTTCCCAAAATTTGTGCAGATCTGGGTCCCACTCCTGCCGTTGTCATGCCCTCTTGAGGAGTATCCAAGGAACATTCTACATTCCCAGACTCCATAAATTCCCTGGGCCCATACCAGAGGCTGAGATGTATGCACTTGACTGAGACATTCATCTGGGATTTGCTGAGGCCAAAATTAAATCAGGTAAAGCTCTAAGTCGAATCTGGGTCTCCTGTGTCTCAGGTGAATACAGTAATGTGTTTATTCTCTACAGCCTTTTCTTACAAAAAGTTAGAGTTCTGAAAAATATTTCTCTGACCTTCTGTCTACCAAAAAAAACCAACAAACCCAAAACCAACAACAACAAAAACCACAAAACAAAACAAAAACACACAAAAAACCCCCAAATAAACAAAAAACCAACCAAACAAAGGAAGGTCTCCATGAATCAGTATTTTCTAGTGTTGCTTTTTTTTTTGTCAGAAAAACTCCTGCTTGGTTGTAGTCATTTTCTTAAAAGCACCTTTGCTTTGGCTTGTGTCTGAAAATATAAATTCTCCTTAGAATACGAGAAGTGCCATGCACAAACCAACAACCTTTGAAAGCAGCAATACTTTAAACTCCAGAGTGGGTCTGACCTGTGAATATTTTTTTTTTCCTTGGAAGTTGAGGGCTGGTGTCCAGGCCTCCATGTTTGATTCCTATACAGATTAAAAGTTTGATGTGTGGCTCTCCATGTGTGTATGTGGACCCTATCTGGGTTGGTGGGAGGAGAAAACAGAAAAAACTCAAGATGTTCTGATACGAGTTAAGCCTTAACAACAGCTTTCCTCTGTTGTAACAGGAAACATTCCATTGTTTTAGGGCAGGACGTTGAAGTATGAGATGTATAGATAGTATTAGAATTCTCCATGTTTAAATGAACCCCTTGTGATGTGCCCATCCTGCCCCTTTTGCTCCTCCAGCTCTCCTCCAGCTCTCATCCTTCCACTCCCCCTACAAAAGGGAAGGAAGGTGAAGCCACTGACCAGGGTGGAAATCCTATTTGCTGAAGCATGGCAGATTGAAATGTTACTGCTTGTAACAACCATTTTCTTTCAAAAATTACTCAGTAGAGAGACATGAGGAAAAAATAAGCATGGCTTTTGGTGATTTTGTGCCCGTATATTGCGCCATCCTTAAAAGGGAGACTACGCAGTAAAAATTTAGGGGGTTAAGCGCAAGAGAATCAAATTAGAAGTGGGGATAATAACGGCACGGAGTGTGATGGTGGTTTGTCTTCTACCTCCAGCTGTTGCACCGAGAAGGGAGGAGGGAGCCCCATCTGCACACGCCTCTTGCCCAAAGAGAACTTTGGGTAACTTTGGACCCAGGTGGCTGAGTCCTCCCACCAAAGCTCTGCTGTGCACGAGGAACATTTCAGGATAGCGCTGCAAGCGTGAGTGCATCCCTAATTCTGGTGTTTTTTTTTTGAAGACAAATCATTTCAAGTAGAGTGCGTAGAGCTCATGACACAAACACATCTGGATTTCAGTTGTTGATCTGAAATATTCACAGTCCAATATGGTAGCAGCAGATGTTGGATTGACAGTGGCAGTAAATGTTAAGGATCGCATCAGAAATCCCATATGTAGCTTCGCTGAGAGCAATAAAGCCTACCTGCCCACCCTTGTTTGTGCTGTGGGGTTAAAAATATTTGCTTGCACACCTAATGTTAAGTCATCGCTCTTTTTTTTTAGCTATAGAAGATTATTACAACCCTTAAAAAGCTTTAGATGCAAACTGTGGGAGGAATTGAACTGACTCCCTTAATCAGATATACTTGTTTGAAATGAAACATAATATTAAACATTTTTAAAGGGGGGGGTCTTTTTTATCATATTTTGTGCGTAGTAAGCACTGCTGCAGAGATCAATGGCATCCAAATTAGTGGGTTAATCATTAAGAGACATCAAAGCATCTGTGCCTTCTGCTGAGGAACGCAGAGGCTGCAGAACTTCTGACACCTTTGAGGACGAGTAGCTGAGGCAAGAAAAGCACAGCTAAATACGGGAGTCAAGGGCTCCATATAAAGGGCACCTGATTTTTCATAAGCTTTTAATTTCCACAGGATTCTCTTTCCCAGCATTTGCTTTCACGGGGATTTTCGTGCAGAATCTGTTTTTAGGAGGGAATTGAAGAAAGGGGTTTTTCAGGATGAGTGAAAGGTGGTGGGTAAGAGATTAAATAATTAAGGAGACAATTATGTGTGGGCTAAAGATACAACACTCATCCCAAGGTGTGGAAGAGGTTCAAGACAGAGTTGAAGACAAGGTGAAACCAATAAAAAAATTGTGTTGGCCATAGTGTTATAAATAAGGTGAAACAGCAAAAAGAAAAGTTTGGGGAAAAATGAGAAATTTCTGAGGAAGATCTGGAGTGAGGGCTAGAAACAATTCAAGTGCATTGGGAAAAGTGCACTGGGGAACATGGATAGCAGGGAATGTGTGTGGTTTTTATGTTACAAAAATGCACATCCTAAACTGAGCTGTCTCAGACTTTAAAGTGAATCAGACTTTAAGTTAATTTCCTCTCCTAGAAGAGGATTTGATTTCTGAATAGGCAAACATTTAAAATCGTAAAGAGGAAAAAGCAAGTACTTTCCTTGGAAGGATGGATGAAACATAAATCTTAAGCAGAACTATAAACTGTTGAGACAAGGCATTTTTGTTGGATTATGTAGCTCATATCAGATAGCAATAAATCAATCCTTCAAAGACAAAAGACTATAGAAAGAAGAATAAACCAAAGACTCTCCAAATAACAAAGGCCAGATACACAAAAGTAACTAAGGAGCTGAAGAGGCAAATAGATGCCTGGCAGGATTTTAAATGGGATCATTCAACACAGACACTCATCACCTGCTGGTGATTATTGGTGTCTTCAGGCTCCTTCAAGCCCAGACACTTCCTTGACTAAGGTTAAAATCCCCATCAGCATCAGGGAAACTAACTCAGTGCCTTAAAATCTGCGTGGTTGGTATATCTTGCCTAAGCAAATGGAATTTACTGGTGGATGGCTTTGAGCCTTGTGAACATTGACAGTGCACATCTTACCACAGTTCTGTGTCATTCCACCGACTTGTGAAGTTCTGCACATATTTATTTACCTTTCTTGCTGTTCTAGGTCTGACTGCATAGAATAATAGATTGTGGAGGAAAAACTGTGGCTTATGTGGGTGTGATGAAAGAATTCTAGTAGTGGCTACCAGCCACTAATCTTAGTTAATACTCACTTGCTCTCACCCTTTGGAAATTAATTTTCTGTACTGCAAATTCCTACATTTTGGGCAAAAAAAAAAGGCCCCATTCCAATGCTGCAAATAGCAAAATCCATATCATTCTCTGTGCCTGTACCCTGTAGTCCCAATGCCTCATTGTTCAGATCATTCAGACCTTTTAGAGCATGCTCTGGCATGTTCCTAACCTGCACACCTTGGCCTTCTCCCAGTGAAAATCAAAGAATAAGAGGAGATTAAGGCTTGGGGCTCATTCTGACATGCAGGCACAAGAGTCATAGCAGCTTGGAAGTGTTTCCAGATCCCATGGCTAGAAGTACTGGGGACAGGCCTTTTCAGCTGAGCTTTAGGATGCTGATAGTTACATTTTCAACCAGGATCAAATCTGGCTGGTTTGTTTGTTGATATTAAATAAAAGGATGACTCGAGTCTTAAACTGCTGAGGGTGTGTGCAGGATATAGAAAGGGATTCCTGTCCTTCCTAAATCAGAAGAAATAACTGTAATGTAGATAATGGGGGAAGGGGAGAGAAGAAAAAAAATAAGAGAAATTGCTGTACATCTGTTTTAAAAAGCCAAGCAAACAAATATTGAGGGCACAAGATCTTAGCATGACAGAGAATTACTAGAACATGCCAGACATGGTAAATAAAAGGCAAGCAGGCAATGTTACTGCTGGAACAAGCAGAGATGTGAAAAATGCAGGGAAAGTTGTAAGTCTTTATTTGCCAGTAGTCTGACAGCAGATGATGATGACATATCTGTGAACATATTTTATGAAAAAAAGACTGCTATCACAAGCTCTGCAGTGATATGGTCATTGAATATTTTTAGCTCCAGTTCTGGTTCTGGTCAGCCTGTGTATCATCTTGAGTTTGAAAGTGGAGGTTAGTTCAGTTTGCCCATGGAATATTGCTCCACAGAATACTCCCAGTGAATTGATTCAGAAAGAGGCCCTGGCATTTGAATACAATATGATTATGATTGCAGTCACAGTTTTAGGTTTGCTTCATCAAAGATTAATATTCTGTTTCTTGGATTTTGCACACTTACAGAGTTCAGCTGGAAAAAAAAAGCTCAGAGTGCACCTCTTACAAGTTAAATGGTACTTTTGTGTTCTTTCAAGCCCTGCTCCACTTTGGCACCAGAGAAGTACTTTTTTCATTCCATATCTTAGGATGTGCAATACTTAAAACAAGGCAGCATGGAACACCATAAAAGTAAGTCTTCCTGCTTCAAAATACTTGCTGTTCAAAATGCACTTACCTGTTTAAAAAAGAAAAATATGCTTTTCCAAAAGCTCGTCTATACATTAATCCTGCCCAAGGGCACATCTACCCTGTGCTTTCACTATTTATGTGGCTTTCATAGACAACTTCTTGCTTTGATATCAACTAAAAAATTAATTTTCTTTACTAATCAGGCAAGGACTGGACAGTGCAGCAGGAGCCTGTCCACCTGCTATTTTTGATAATTTTTTCTTAAAGAAAGCACCTCACTGATGAGTTCCTTTCCACACATCTCCCAGAGCACGATCACATATTTTTGTTCTCACTGTTTTCTCTTTGCTCTTTCTGCTCGTATGATCCCATTTATTTTTCCCCCCTCTTCTTTAATTACACCCCCTTAGTAGAGGTGGGGGAGAAAAAAAAAAACAACAAAAAAACAGGCGTTTGCAAATGGCAAATCAGTCCATGGGGACTGCTCGGATTTTAAGGGCAGCTGCTGTTCAATGTATCTGGTGTGTCACTTTCTGTTTTGTGCTCCTGTTTTATTGCTGCTGTGGGAATGGAGCAAAAATAGCGGCTACTGCAGTTCTGTTGAATAACCATCAACGTGATTCTAGCCTATGTGTCAGTCCCTCACTGGGCAAAAAAAAAAAATGTCCATATTTGATATCCACTACCCACCCTGACCTGTAAATGAAAATAGCAACGTGCTAAATTGCTACAGAAAAGCATGATTAGCTAGAAGACTCAGCTGATATACCTAGATGTGTTTGTGCTGCTATGCGTGTGTGGGTGTGAGAATATCCCTACATCTCTGGGAAGGCTGGTGTAAGTAAATAATTCATAAGGTGCATGCAGTGTATTTAAATGTTAAATACACTGGCTTTCAAATTCGGTGCAACTATTGAAACCTGCAACCATTTGACTGCTGCATATTTAAAGTGAAACCACTAACAGTGTGGAAATGATGAGTAAAAATTGCCCCAGCCCCAGTCCTTGACAGAGCACCTAAGCTTGCCATCTTAGCCCTTTGTGGAGCTCAGATCGTCTTCCTCCCGTGCATCTTTCAATTCGAGTGTAAAGTCTTGACGCTGGAAGTGCTGACTCATGAAACGGCAAGGAAGGAACGTTTCCGTGGCTGCTTCGGTGGCCAAAGTGGTGTGGATTTACCCTGATGTGGCTTTTCTTGCCTTCCTCGCTCCACCACCCCGTGTCCCACGTCCGGCCTCCGCGCACCTGAAACTGCAGCTGAGAAGGAGCACCAAGGTGTTAAACACACCTGCTAGCCGCTGTTTTACACAGTGAATCCGTCCGGGTTGTTTTACCTCTTCTTCCTATTCATCAGCAAAAGTTTATCCCGCGTCAAGCCGGGCTTATCCCTGAGCCTGACCGGGCTTTTGTTCTCCCCAAGGCGCAGCAGCGCCGAGCCCGAGCGGTCCCTGAACCGGCCGCGTTTCCCCGACAGATGGCACTGCCTTTCTCTCGTACTTAGCCAAAAGTTTGAAAACATTTCGTTAAAAATAGCTGCCCCACATTCTTAATTGGCAATCCTTTTTTTTCTATTTATTGTTAGGCACAAATCAGATGCCGTTTAGCTCTTAGGCGAGCTCAGCGCGCAGTACATAAAAGCATAATGTGAAACACACAGATATTTCCTTATTCTGTTCTGTATCTGCTCGTTATAGCAGAAAATACTGAACAATTTGTGATTTGTCACTAACATCTTCAGAAACTTAGTTGTGATAAAATGTTATTTTTTCCATTATGAAGATAGAACCTTTTGGTTTAATCTTACAACTTGTTGTGTAGTCAGACGTCCAGGCTTGCACAAAGCCCACGTTTCACATAAATGAGCCCAATATTATTCCAGAATCTCTGGAGTTCAGCTACAGTAGTGGACTGCTTAAGGCACTTGGCCCTTACCCTGGCTTCA